AGCAGCTTGAATTTGCCTTCTGACGTGTGCAGTCATATGAGGCTGACAATTCTCTAACTTACTGGTCTTCTTGATTTATTAATTTTCTTTTCAGATTGATGTATTCTTGTTTTATTGTGGCCATTTCATGTTTTTGTCACTAAGACACATGGACCATGCATTGCCAATAGCAAACTTAAATGTTATGTAGCAATTTGTTTTACTCTACATAAACTACGGTGCGGTATGGTGACGAGGTTTCATTTATACTTAGATCAATAATACTCGTTACGCAAACGACGCATACTAAACAATAGAACCCTTTATGTCCTCTAATATAGTAACCTGTGATTGATAAAGCAATAATAATAATAATAATAATAATAATATTAAAAATAATAATAACAATAATAATAATAATAATAATAATAATAATTAATAATAATAATAATATAAATCAGAAACTTTTACCATGCAAATTAAATAGATATCAAAGGCACAACATATAATGATGAGTAATTGATCAATCAATCATATTTCATTTTGGAATTAAAGTCTATAACAAGTAGGTTGACAAGTAAAATGCAAATACTATACATGGGCCTAAAGCAAAATACTCAGAAAGTACAGTTAAATTGTATTTGATTAAATTATTTTATTATATTAAATGAGAGTGGTTTTGTAATTTGTCGTTTTAATAAATATTCCAAGTCTTTTATTAATTAACAACGCAAATAACTTCTTTTGCGCTTTTTAAAATTGCAGTTACGTTAAATTTAAATTTATTATTAAACAGTATTGCAATAATCTTATTTTTAACAATAATTCAAACAAATGGCAAAAGAAACTTGTCTAAACAGATACGTCACTTAGGCCCTCCAACATGGCGTCAGTGGCCTCGCTAAAACCAGCCAATGAGCAATTATAGTAGAGATCAGTGGTTAAAACATACGCGAACACGTGCGTTTGTGCGACAACACGTGTGCTTGTTGGAAACGCGCGAATTCCTGGCACTGTTGGTTGGTCAGTTCTTCAGTTTGATTGACACTCCAGTAAAGTCCATATATCATTGTCATGTGTGTCGTTCAGTTTAAAATATGATTACAATAATTAACCGAATTTATATGAAGAAGACTGGCTATACATTGCGTACCGGTATAAGCTTTTCATTTTATTTTGGTAGCCGAATGGGATTTCTTGGCAATACTTTATTGTTGAGCTAAAACACTTGTAGAAAAAAATATCATAATATTTGGATTTTTCACAGTACCTTGTATTTTTAAGTAATTGTTCTTCGTCTCTCCGACACTCTCCTTCCTTGTCGCAAATCACGATTCGCTTCTTACTTTCTTCCATCTTGTCTATTTCCTCTCTCCCGATCCCTCTTCGATTTCCCCTGTTCTCCTCAAAAACATTCTGAACAACTGAACTTTAATCACGTGTACTCGCCTTCCTCCTCCATCATCCAACCCTGTCAATACATTTTTTTTAAATGTGTTTGTATGCTTATAATGTATATATATGCCCACGAATTTGTGAATGTATTTCCACGCGAATGTTGGCCTTTGGATGGTATGTGAAGCACAATAAAATTGCTAAAATGTTTGGGCATCCCCGCTTATCGCCGCTACCCCCGCTTATCGCCGGCACTGAGACAATGTGTTTATACTGTAGAGAAACCGTCATTTTTAGTCCCTACCTTTACCTTTAAGGCCTAGTGTTGAGAATGTATATCACAGCTTTGACTTGCTCATTTTTGTTGTTGACATTTAGTGATGACAAAAGTAACCGTAGATTTACAGGTGTTAGATATATGATACGTAGAAAACGAAATTTATACAGAATAAGTACATCACGAAACAAGCTCTTAAATAATATGATACTTTACAAAGCAAAAAATAAATTATTTTTTTTAGAAATGCAATGAAACCTTATTTGAGAATACAAAGTATGTAATTATCGACGCTTTACCTCTGGAGATATAAGAAAACACTCTCAAAAACAAGTGAAAGGATCGTTATCTTCATTGTGTCTGTTTTCAGACTTAAAAATGGATATTATCAAAGTAATCATCTCCGAAATCTCAGTGCGAATTAGAACGCGCCGAAAAATTTATGGTGTCACGAAGTGTGTAACTAATTTTACGTGCATGAATTTTAATGCTTCATCGCGCGCGCACACAGACGAGATGGACATTCACTCGTTCGTGAAGTTACTGTCATATTTCCATTAACGCTCACACATGGTTTCCAAAGTAAGCACGTTCTTGAAAAGAGATTATTGTTCTGATGCAATTATTCCTGTCACTTCATAAGATACAAAATTGTTAGCGGGAAGTTAATGTAATTTATTAATTCATTAAGAACCGAATCGATGTATTACGATGTAGAGCGGGCAATTATAAGGATTGGGGGCATTAAACGGGGTTGATGATACCACAGGTGCATTATGTGAAACACTTGCATCTTTCCTTGTAGGCCATGTCCTTGTCATTATAGTTTAAAAGAAAGTTACTATCACATGTAGGACCCCGTCTGCGATATCATTAACGGGAACATAATTGCCCTATAGGCCTACTTGATTTCGTACGATGAATATACACACGCTACATAGGTCTAATTGTATAGGTCTAGTTGAAACTGACTGTTGAATTTTGAAAACAAGTTCATAATAACGTTTTATAAAATCGGGATGATAATTGGACCTCTTCCAAAGAAGGTCAACAAACGTGACTAGTCAATAATGAACCAAATTCTAATAATAATATTAAAATATTAAAAATACTGCATCATTCTGTAACACAAAAGTACAGTAAATCTTATTTGTGAGCAAACATACTCTTAATAATAATAATAATAATAATAATAATAATAATAATAATAATAATAATAATAATAATAATAATTTGGATTTGTAAAGCTTGATAAATTGTATACGATAACGATGACTACAGCATAATTTAGGCCTATATATAGGCCTATTTATATTGGCCTATATGTATATACATATATGATATATGGTTTGCATGTGGGTAATTATTTGACGTAGTACGGAATAGTAATTGTAATATTGGTACAATCTTTATATTTATTAAAAAATAAACAAAAAAAATAAGAAAATAAAAAATAAATAAAAGGAATAAAATCCGTTTGCAATATTCTACGGGGAAATTCAAAGTAAAAGTTGTTGGATTGGTTCTATTCTGAGCTTGTTTATGGAAGAAGCATATCTTGTCCTCAGGTTCGATTGACTAGCTCGCGCGGACAGTGTTGGATGTGCACCTTTTGTCGATTGTTACTGTTCATTTGCAATAGGCCTACCGTATATACTGAGGCATAAGACGAGGTTTAAAATAGCAAATTACGATCGAAAAACGACATACACATTTTACGCACGACACACACATTTTAGATTTTTTAAATCATGTTTTCACCTTGTGCGATCGTCCGTAAACACGCAAATTTGGTACTGCAGTGAAAGCTACCATAAATGAACATTTAAAAACTATTATTATTTGGAAGATTACCGTAGCCTTGCATTTGGCTCCGTGTTTAGTCAGCTAGATGATGTATAAGGACCAAAAAAAGCAGGAAAAAGTAGGAATTGCGACCATGAAACAGGGGGACGCCTTAAACGCCTGACATACAAAAATCGCCCAATATTCTCAAACATGGGAGTCGTCTTATACGCGGGTCACCTTATGCGCGACGGTACCTTTTTCACTGTAGTATGCAGATTCTGGTTTTTTTTTACAGAATTTATTTACACTTTGACCTGGTCAGGGCCCAGGTTTCTTGGAATTATGTAATCCGTTTTAAGCAACAAAATAAAATATTCCTTTTTTAACAAGATGGTTGTATTGTGACAATAAACATATTTTGTTTAAAGCATATTGCTACATATGTTTTTGTTCCTGTAACAACTAATTAAAAAAAGCATACAGTATGTTTCAATTAATTTACGCATATTATTATAACGTTAATTATGAAACCTGTGAGATAAATAGCGCGTGGATCTTTTCGATATATTTTATATACCGTAGACTACTAACATTGTTATAACCTGAGTTTATATGTGTAACTCAGTAATCATTATATTCTTTACGTGTAGTGTACTGCCATTATATTATATTATATTATATTATGTTATATTATATTATATTATATTATATTATATTATATTATAATATATTATATTATATTATATTATATTATATTATATTATATTATATTATATTATATTATATTATATTATATCATATCATCTTTTCTTTACCGGCCTTACGT